ATTTTCATGTAACTAGTAACTCACAATGTACACCATATACTTTTAAGATTTCAAAACTTGTTTTCAAATGAAAAGAATACAATTTTCGGTCAATATCACACCATGTTTGTAGGTGATTTCAAACAAAAGTAAGCATTTCTTAATTTTAGCAACTTTTTGATCACTATGTTTGGGCGTATTTTAAAATTTATTCCCTCATAACTTTTGTGAACCGATTTTCATACTATTGACTATTTGCTTACGCCTTCCACCCCTCGTGAAAGAGCATAGGCTGCTTACCAGCATTCGCCATCGAACTCTGTCCTGATCAATTCTTTCCAGTTGCTATTCATGTCTATTTCTAATTCTCGACGCCATGTGTTCTTCGTCCTTCCGCTTTTCCGTTTCCCTTCAGGATTTAAAGTTAGGGCTTGTCTCGTGATTCAGTTTGGTGGTTTCTGTAATTTATATCCTATCCACTTCTAATGTCTTTACTTAATTTCCTCTTCAGCTGGAAGTTGGGTTGTTGTCTCCGACAGTAGGCTGTTGCTGATGGTATTCGGCCAACGGACAGTAAGTATCTTGCGTAGACAATTGGTTATAAATACTTGTAACTTTTTTATTATGGTTGTGGTAGTTCTCTAAGTTTCCGCTTCGTACGGCAGAACTATTTTGACGTTCATACTGAAGATTCTGACTTTGATATTGGTTGACAGTTGTTTTCAGTTTCATCTGTTCTTCTATTGTAGGAACGATGTCCTTGCTTTGTCAATCCCTGCCTTTACGTCTACATCAGATCCTCCTCGTTCGTCGATAATTTTGCCTAGGTACGTGATATGCATACCATAGTTTTACTTAAAGTCGAAATTCTGAGTTATTTCATTTACCCTCAGAAATATCAGGTTTTGTAGAAGAAACTTATTTTTATTCAAAAATAACACGTTGTACGACACAGTCAGTGTTACCGCTTGTTGTATTTAATTCCGTTCTTTTGTTTGTTATTCTAGTGAAATAAATTCTGCACATTTTAGCAGATTTACTTAATTACGGTTTAAAAGGCTTGAGAAGTGTAAAGAAGAATAATACAAGTATAAAATTCCTATTGAGTTTTTCTGACTTATTGTTTTAACATCCTGGGAAATCCAGCACTTGAAGTTCATATCTGGTCAGAAATATTCACTTTGTAGAACTCCAAACATTTGGAAATTATTTGAAGGGATAATAAGTAGGAAACTGATTAGTGACGACATTCAGATGGACATTTATAACTTGTATAAGTCATTGTTATGTAGATAATCTGATGCTAGGTTTGGTATCTACCTACATTCTCAAAAACTTTTCGTGCATGTTTTGATGAAACTGATTTCCCTATAAGTCTCATTTCACCTAATTCATCATAATGCTTAGTACCAAACGAAATATCGAACCTTGTAAATAAAAAACTGCTATGAAATCCATATTAAATGTCATGTATTTCTGTAAAGGACTTATTGCTGATTTCTCTTGGTATTCCCATACATGAACATTTATCAACCGACATATTATGTAAAGGTGTTATGTTATTTCGGCATTATTCAACATTTACTTTCATGATTTGTAAATTATTTTATATGTTATCATTCACTGTTCCCCTTTCTCTTTTCCTAGGCATTCGATAATAGGTCTTGCTGAATAAGACAGACATTCTCATGTCATCACTTTCAAACAGCTTTCTTCAGTCATATTCATCTTAAGCGAATAAACAACATATCATTAAAATTCTTGCAGTTGTGTTTCATAAATTACTTCATCATAAACTTTTAATGTCGAAATCCTCGGACATAATATGACGGTATTCATAATGCACAGAATTCTATTAATCACAATTCTGTTTCAAGAAATTACTTTCAGTTTTCCAACTAAGTGTCAACATCGACTCACATATCTCGTGTACGAACCTACTGCGAAATCGTTAAAATGCACCGTTCTTTGTCACATTATATTAATTAATATATTCTTTTGAATCGATTTGGCTCAATTATTTCCATGGGTTACTAGATTATTTGATTATCATTTCCAGGTAGTTTATCGCAAAAACTGTGTTTACACTGGTTTCGATGCAGATAGAAGCAAGATGAAGTGAAATAAATTTAAGCAAAAGTAAATAATAACAGATACTGGATATCTTTTAAAATCAAGGGAGTTGTTTGTTGTGAAACACTTTGGATTTCTTCGCAAATCACTTCAACTTCGATGAATGCTTACAGCATTTTTGAAACATCAGGTTCACTGCAAATAACTGTTTAACGGTGCTTATTTGACAGTAGTTTCAATGAGTGAAATGTTGGGATCAATAAACTCTGTCAACCTACCTCACTAGATATGAGATCTTATACGTTGCGATTTCTTCAATGTTGTTTCATTCCATATTGAGAATCGTGTTTTAATATACAACGCACACATGCACCTTGTCGAAAAATAATCATAGTCAATAAAATATCCACTCGATGAAAATCCACACCATGTTCACTTTTTCGCGACTCACATCAGAGAACTCCAATAACATTTCAAACTCATAACAGGTAGTTTCAATATTAAGGATGACTTTCTTCATCCATTCACATTTCAGGTGGTTTTCAGAATCCGAAACTTAAATCCTAGATGTACAGCCTTAACTGTGAGGATATTCGATAAAATCGGTTGCAATCTCTCAATCTGTCGTGTGTACACGTCTATAGAGTCGGAATTTTTTGCAACACATCTCTCTGAAATCTTTATATATGCTTCCATAACTTGAGAACTAGCATATTATATACAGTCTCTGTCTGACGGATTACAACTACATATTTAGATACGATAATTTAATATTTTAGATGTTTAACTGATGAAATTAACAATGCCATCTGTTTTACTGGAGCATTCCAAACGAAGTAGAAAGTTGTCATTTCCTAGATTTTTTCTTGCATTTATATTGTTTTCATTAGTATAAGCTTATTGAATAAATTCACTTCATATTTTTTGTTCGTATACTTCCAATTGTATTGTTCGATGCCTCTCATTTAATTATGGTTATCCATTTATTCAATTAACTAATTAAGTTAACAATATGAATATTTTGAAATAAATTTATTTTCCACAATAGTTACTCCGAATATATGTGTACTGTAGAAATAATAAATTTATTCATAAGAATCTATTCAGTCGAAATATTCGCTTTGTAACTGTATTGGATGATTACAATTAATATTGACGGAGATGTGTGCATTAAACTATGAACAGCAATTAAACAAATTCTACGTTGACAAATGTTTAAGAAGGAAAAATTGGTAACAACGTACCGAAATACCAAGTTAATTAAAACAATAAGAGACTGATCAATTGCAGTCCAAAATATCAATGGGAAGATTCAAGTAAACAGTACCAAGTGAATTTAAAAACTTCACCCTAATGCACAAAAAAGTGGCTATCAGGACTCAGTAGCTGAGCTGATAACGCGATGGCGTTTGAAGCGAATGGTACTGGGTTCGAGTCACAGAGTAAACATCAACTCTGAGATGCCGGTACATCCAGCTGACAAGTCCCAAATAGAACGAAACGCACATCATAGATTCCACTGCTAGCCACCATTCATCTTTGCTTAAAACATAATTGATGTTATTAAATATTTACCAGTCTTTGTGTTCTTACTTTCGCATCATGGGAATTGCAAAGGTCCCTCGTTTCGAGTATAAATGATAAGCGTTTTCGACACAACAATTAACGACGATCAGATATAACAAGTAGCGCTCAATCCACAAGACATATCAATATTTAAAGCCTATTATTCACGACAAAAACCAAATATTTCTTTTTGTTAAACCTACATAATTTTTTAAATAGTGAATAGTCATTTAACCAATATTTTTGAAGAATTGTTTCAGAATTAAACTAATACAATGCTATTTATAATTTACTGAATCAAATGAAATTAAGTATAGAATTAGAATAATTCACATTACAATTTATTAAGAAAACGTGACAACAACAAAAAAAGAATTAAAAACACCAGGATCGTATCATTCACAATGATATTAGTAGAAATGTTGAGAAAAAGCAAAAAAAACCAAGCATTACAGTGTTATTAAAAAAGCAATATATATGTATTTATATGCAGAGAGAGAGAGAGTGAGGTTACTGAGATAATAATTAGTGAGATTCCAATCTTATACTGAGTAGGTGATATTTATGATTTAAAAACTGTTCAATAAATGAGATCATTACATCAACAAAGAAATATATTTAGATAACAAGAAAAGAAGACGGATAGCAAGTAAGAAGAAAACATTTTAGCCTCCTTTTCAAGCGAATAGTGAAGAACAATTAAATAAAAACTGCAAAAAATGAGATTACCATAAACGACTTCTTTCTCTAAAAAAGGATGCAATGTCACTGAATAAAAACACTAGTGATTTTGTTTTTTATCCGTTCATGATTCACTTATGGTGCGTATGAATGATTAAAGTATGAAACAGAAAAAACCGCCAAAATAAGTGTGACTATATATGAATATAAACATATAAAAATCTACACAAGTCAAATATATCTAGAAATGAAGTTGTGCATAAACTAAATGGTGATCACAACGTCAAATAGTTCATAGAAGATAAAGAATAAACAATGAAAAATCAGATGAAAGTTAGTAATGGAATAAATTCAATAAGGAAATTCTAAAAAATGTATGTCTATGATCAATTTTATTTTAGCATTCGTTGTAACAATCCTTCATTGATGTACATTAAGAGAATTGAGAAACCATAACAAATCAGTCATATGATAACAGTAAAAGTAACATCACTGATCGTAGTATAAATGATAACTCCATAAAATAAAATAAGACTGTGTTTTATACTCTGAATTGATATGAGAAAAATACAACTGTATGCCTTTCGCTTCGCATGAATACATATGAAACGAAAACAAAAGTGCAACCATATATAGTATTTGATTTTTTTAACGAAGTCATAAAAAAACTACATTCATATTTTCCGCTACTCATCAGATTTTTACATCATTAATTTAACATAGTTAGCTGGAAACAACCCAAATTGTCCATCAGCATTTCGACCAAGCCACCAACCTTCATCAATTTGTTCAATGTCAAATATATGTTCTTCGGCACGAAATGATAATTCATCATCTTCATCTACACACAACAAATGATAAATGAATAAAAAGGAGGAGAATGTAACGATAAGTATCGGAATTAAATATAACTGTAAATTTATTCATAGTTTATAACTAGTGTCCATTTCATTTAAAGATTTTCAAAAAACATCTCAGTAGTCAATTTAATCGTTCTCATTTAAATAGATGGGTTTCATAGTAAAATTTAATCAATATATGAATTACAATTTCATTATGTCTGAGAAAGACTAATGTTATGTCCTATGACCCGTCAAATATCACGTGATAAAATCGCCAACCGGAATACCGACTTCTATGTCCCTTTGTTAAATTAATGACACGTTAACCGGCCATTAGCAACCTTGAGTTAACTCTCGATCCTTATTAGTCCTCTGTATGATGGCATATCGCCGAGCCCATTCATTCCAGAAAACAAATATCATCCCCCGCCATATAAGTCGTATACTTGAGAAATACTTGGTTTATATACACACAGATTCCATAAAATGAAAAATTACAATTATATAAGATCAAGCCAAAAGTGTCTGTGAGTATAGGAGACTATAACTAAAAGATTGGGAATAAATTAACAATGGAAAATAGTATAACAATAGCCAATATATCAAATGAAAGCCTATGATAAAAGGAATATGAATTATCCAATAAGAATATATGTAAAAATAGTCCATAGTTAACATTCATTTATTCTTCATTTGCATATAACAACAAACCATTTTAAAATGTTTAACAATACTAATTTTCCTTTAAAATATAATGTGAATTTATTCAAAAATATTAATTCCTATTCAACATTATCTAAGATGTTGAGCTGACGATGAAGATGATAATTGGATCTACAAATTGCTATATAAAGAGTTAATAAATCACTGATGTACATACTGCTGAAAACTTAATAAATTACAACACAAAAACACAATCATCGTATCTTTTGATTTAATCATCACTATTTCAAACCAAAGTAGCGACTAAATACACTATTATAAACTCACTAGCATTATAATCATATAGACAGACAGCTTTAAGATTTGAATTATTTTTTGTTTTATTGTGCACTTCCGTATTAGGGGATGATTTAATACATGGTGAAACTAGGTTATACATTGAATTCTGTGGTGAAACTGAGTTTTGATGATAAGTATTATTGTTATCATTGTTACCGTTTTTTAACTGTTGCTCAATGTTAGAATTAATTTGATTATTTGAAATATGTACTATCGGTGATAAAGAAAGAGGAGGTGTTGTTTGTTGTTGGGATTGTTGATAATGATGACCATTTTGATATAACAGATCTCGACTACTTGAATTACTAATAACATCAGACTAGAAGAAAAATATCAAAGTAAACGTTTAGTTTCTATATGACAATAAACGATAAAAATGTATACATGTAAAGCAATAAAAAAATAAACTCTTTTGAACTAGGACTTTAATTTGCTAAACAAATTTATTTTCTAAATAAGTCCAGAATTAACAGTAATACGTAGTCCTGTACTTTATACAATATACAAGGTTACAATCTATGAAATGATCATCCGATCATATAATATGTAACTGTCTAGCAGTTCACAGTCACCAGTATGTCCAGATAACCAGTTTTTTTATACTACAGTCACTAATATGTATGAAACTTCCATAGTTAATATGATGGATAAAGTTTGTTATTTCTAAATAACTTAATTATGTGCTATTTACTTGGAACACCTTATTTTTGAATTCATAATATGTCAGAGAATGGTATGAAAAACGCTGGAAATAAAAATAGTATATTTCGAATTCAATAGCGAAATCATACTGATCACTATGTAATGGAAAACAGTGGCAGTAGGATATTTCACACGGGTGATGATCACTATATCTATGTTATTTCTTTATTTCTGAAGGAAAGATTTTAGGAAATCGATTGTAAGTGAAGTTGTGCAATATATTCTTGTTAAGAGAAAAATATCTGAGAAGAATTTAATTATTTTCCAATATCAATTAAGAATGATGCGAAAAATCTCTACAGAATCAAATGTACAAGGAACGAATCAAGTGAAGAAATTTCTTCTCAATTAGTTTCTCATCACGACTCTACACAATAATGAAATAATACTCGTCGCGTAGACACGTTACGTAATGATTATATAATGACATATCGATTATACATTAACATTGAGCACTTGTAAGAAAGAGGGTTACTCAATGTTAATTTGTAGTCGACATGTCATTATATAATTATTACGTAATGTATATCTACTCGATGAGTATTATTTCATTATTGTAAATCATGTATACATTAGTGCAGAACTATGATGAAAAACTAATTGAAAAGAAATTTTCTCGCTCGATTCGTTCCTTCTTCATTTAACAAATGTCAAAACGGGAATTTTTAAGAATCAAATGTATCAGTATTCATTATAAATGTTGTATGTGGTGAAAATCTTAAATTACATTCAACGAATTAGTAATATATCATGAGAATTCATACCAGGATGATATTTCTTAAAGGAATATTTTAATATATGGTATTGTGAAGTGAATCAAGCTTTTGATTAAACTTAATTGTCTAATTTAAAAGCATAACTACTGAGAACTGATTATTTTTCACAATTTCAACGTTTCTTGGGAACAACTATTCAAGTGAAACTATAAAAATGATTGTTAGTATCGGATTGTGCAGATTGCTGATTTTCATTGAAATCATGAATTGGTCAATATTAGACCATTGTTACAAACCTGGAAACACTGGAAGATAATCGCACAATATCGTTGATTGATTGGAATTAGAGATTAACGCTGTTGGATGCCAGATCAGTGGTTTAGAGGTTACGCGTTCGTGCGCGAGACCGAAAGTCCTAGGTTAGATTCTCGCGTGCGTGATCGTGAATGAGCACTGGTGAGTATCCCCATACTAAGACAAAACGGCCTTCCAATGCTTCCAGGTTTTCAATAGTGGTCTAACACTGATCGATTTATGATTTCAATGTAAAAGTGATGATGAAGCTGAGTTTCTAATAGGCAGCTTACCCGAATGGAATTTTATTTGTGATTTTTGAAACTTATCTCATATATGTTGCCATGAGCAATAAGATGTGCATAAAATAATGCACAAAGCAGCAAAGTAATACTATAACAGTGTTATATTTTAAAACGATGCCCTGAAATCAGCCTACCGGGTAATAAATCATCGAAAAAGTATAAAAACAAAACTGGATTGATTATTTTGCTGTACGCATCATCTCAGATAGATTTTGGGAGTAAAATAATTATTAGACATAAATGTACGGATTCAAAACATTTTCGTCATATCAAAGGAGATTCGTGGAACATTTAACTTTTAGAACTATCGTACGGCTAATTATTACCTATATATTCTTGTTTAATTATTAGACGCTTGGATTAGTTTATTTTTACATTATCCTAATCTCTACTTTTCGGTTAACCAGTCTGACTGCCTGTTTGAATATCTGGGTTACCTGTTCCTGCCATCAAGATATTTCAACAAGTTATCTGTTTTTGTTTGTTTTAGCACATCATCATGTCTATTCATCACATAACCTATTCAGGAGCGCTTATGGAAGTTTCACGACCCTTCATAATACAAGTATAATCAGAGACATCGTGGTGGCTGGCAATATGGATTGAAAAGAATGAACATTATTATTGTAATGTCGACCCCTAAAATACTAACATCTAACTGGCGATCACTCAATATTTATCGTCAGGTCCGGTCGAGAAATAAGAAAAGGGAACTTGTTGAAATACTTTGTGTGCAGAATCCTATATTGTCCTCAAAAGTAAACACTGAATAAATCCATTAATAATAATAATAATCTGCATATCGTTGATTCAAGTCTTATCATACTATCATTATCACTAGTAAATTATTTCCCTGATGTTTGGCTTTTAATATCACTTATGATTGAGTTGTTCATATATTGTTATTTTCTATTTGTTGCTATTCAGTCGGATATCTGAGGTATTCTATTGTGTGAGTTTTAGTCATGATTAAATAAGGTACGACAAAGGATCATTCTCCTTGTTATCTTCGTCTCCTGACTGAACACTGAACTCGACGACCAGTAGGCGTTGGCCGGAGCACAAGGATTTAAATGCAGTTTGAAATTCGTGATTTTATAAAGATATAGACATTTATATATATGTGATGAAATACTGACAACTGTTTAGTCTTAACAGACAAACAATATACATCAATGAAGCGGTCAGAAACTATTCCAAACACACATTACTCAATAAGAAACATTACCTTTTTATTTGTTGATGATAAAGTATTTGAATTATTCGCGGCTTTAATAGAACGAATTTCCGACTGAACATCTGGTCGTTTATAATTGGCACCCTATGAAAAGATAATTAAACAAGAATAATATAACAAAAAAAGTAGTTTCTATCTGCATAGACCAATAGAACCGGTAATTATTACGATGTACTGAGTGAAAGCAGGCTAGTAGGGAAGACATACATATCTATGCAAAACTTTTCACAAAAACGTCAAACGAAACCCTAAATTTCATCACCGAGCAGCTGATGTGCTAGTCAAAATAGGCTAGGCAACTAATATACAAAAATATATTATAGTAGAATAGTATATACTGTAGTACAAAATACGTCTTTAATCTTTTTAGAAAAATCGGATAATACCACAGAAAATTTCAATGAAAACCTTTGTTTACTACCTTTAACTCCCAGGAAATGATTAGAGTAGTGGTAAGGAGACTAATAAACCAGACTGTGTTGAGATATGTTGAACGCATCCATGCCTAACCTTGAAACCTTACATGTTACTATAACAAGCGATTTAATTAATCTCCATATGATTATGGAAACTAACATTTCAAACATTTTGTGGCTTGTACTGAAGGTTCTGCAATTAACGTAGGTTGATTTACATCCATTTTCATAAACTCAAATGATTAGGAATCAAGACAAATGCGAAAATTCCGCGTCCCGTGACCTATTTAATATTTTAATTAAACTGAGTATTCCTAGTCGTTTTCCTTAGATACTCCTGGAATCATTCCCAGATAGCTTTTGTTTCAGACCTTAGGAGGGCCAAAAGTAGAGTTCTATGCACGTTAGGATCGGATTGTGGGCAACTGGAGTGTGATTGTAATCGAGTTTAATTGTTTTGCAGTGTTGCAGATGATGTTTGAGGTTAATATTACCCAAACTCCTTTTCGTATCTCTTACATTCGTTGAAGTAAGCCACAGACGTAAGCGTCTACGCTTTTGATTTCACAAACCACTACCGGTGATTGGTGTTTGATTTTCACTCAGAGAGTTTTCGTTTTTCGTAAATACCGGAACCTGCTGAGATGAGTCTCCGGGTCTCAGTCGAAAAATTATAAGTTGCGCTAGCGCATATTTTACAGGTTGGATTATTACAAATAGGGGAAGACTAAAAGGTGTAGTATTTTGCAGTTGTAAAATAAGGAAGGAATCTGCTCAAGAACGAACTCGGGTGAAAACCGTACACGATTGCTATTTCATAGAGGTAATTACTGAACTTTGGACTCAAATAAGTTCTTTCGCAATGAGAATGTACAGTGTTTCTATCACGTTTAACTCAACTATTTGTAATTTAATTCATTCTACATAACAGTACTACACTTTTCACAGCTAAGCAGTCAAAATGAATCATAACCATTTAAAAATCTATTTGAATCTAATGTAGATTTCAAGTTACCCGGCGTGAGATAATAAAAAAACCACATAGATTATTAAAATACAACTGGTAATGTTGGTAATATTAGGAGTAACTTTTCATGAATGAGTTAATTGTCTTAGCAGTTACGTAAAATAAAATATTAAAGGATAATTTAAAGTTCAGTGAAAATGTAAAACTTACAACAGGTTCACTGTTATTGAACACAGACTCTTGAGGCTGTTTACATGCACGAGCTGCCAAAATTTCAGCTCTTGGGTCTTGCTTCTTATAACATGTGCCCTAAATCCCATAAGATAAAGATATATATATATGCATCAATTCTTATTATAAAAATAACATTGTATTTGCGGCTAAGAAGGGTTAATTTAAATGAATCTAATATGGGTTTAAACATTTACAATTCGTACGACAACGTAAGAGTTAAAATATCACAATAATCAATAATCTAAGATGTATGGAAAACTTGGTGAAATTTATTTTCGTACGTGGAAAGGATTTAACTAGTTGTTTTTTCTGATCGTTGAAAGCAAACGAAAAAGATAATATTAATCAAACAAACCCTAAAGACACATATTTAATTACTTTTGGTGTGACATTTGTAAACTGATCAGTGTTAAGAAATTAAACAACACCAATAGTAAAGACGTAGAGTTTCTAGATCGCTAGAAAAAGATTCACAATTAAAATGTGTTTTGTTAACCACGTCTAGGAAATCACCCAATATGTTGTCAATTATCTGCTTGAGTTATTAGGCAATATGCAAATGAGTAGACATTAAATTTTTGTAATCTACTTAAATTCATTCAATTAAATACAATATCTGTTGGGTGTTGAAATGTGATATGAGAAAATAATGATGAAATATGACAAGCACCATTCTAGATTATTTGAAGTTACTAGACCAAAATTTAAAGTTATAATTTAGCAATTACAATAATAAATATACAAACAATATCAAAAGTAGCACGAATATGAAATAGTCAAACTTAAAACAATTTATATCATAATGAGTGGAAGCAAATAAGTGAAAACAATGCTAGTAACAGTAAAATAGAAGTGAAAATAAAAAGCAAGTAGATCAAAAGGAAAAGAATATGTACGGGAAATAAAAAGTAAGGAGTCAAATTAAATTCAAGTCTAAAAGTATTTTACAGCATCAAATGTCTAACTATGAATATTACAATTATTACGAGAACTGAAAACCAAGAAAACAACACCCCATAACATGACACCAAACAACAGTTAACGAATACGTAAAGTGATCTAATGGATTTTGGAGAATATCCTCAAGTTTATTCCATTCTACCCCAATATTATTCACTAAGGATCCATCACGTGCAAAACATTTCCATCACCTGAGTCAACGGCAGTTTATAACTAACTAGTTTTTTGTAAAAAAAAAAGCTGGTTTTTAATCACACGTAACTTTAAAGAGGAATGTCTCACATTAACTCGGCGCCCAAATACTGTGAAACTATTCGATCAAATTTAGATGAAAGTTCTTATTTATTAACGTAACTTTAGTAAGAATAAGTGAAACAAAAATGGCACTATGAATCTATTAACTATACCTAAACATGACATTTTGGAGAACATAAGAAAGCTAGATTCTGTGGGACAGTAGAGACAGATGTCCAACAAATATATGCATATAATGAATCTCATAAATTTTTTAGTCTTATTTAGTCGCATGTGATAGTCTAGTGAAATTAATTCCAACCCTATGGATTTTCCTTTATCAATGAATGCAATACTAAGAATTGGGAAACAATAAGGTGTTGTTTAATATCTGAATACTCGAAGGATGAACTGTGGTCATTCTCTATATTAGTGGATTAAGTCAAGTTCATGGTCTCAGCTAGTGATTACAAAATACGAAGTTAGTGATAATAACTAGTAACAAAAAGAGAATAAAACTAGTGAATCGATAGTTATAGCAAAGAGGAAGTTTAGGTGGTGCTACGAATGGATTTGTTTGTGGTACTTCTCGATTGCCTACACTATCTTTTATCGATGAAATAGATAAAGAAACTGGATTGTTACGTAGCGACTTGAAAGTCTGGATGCAGATCATCAGAAATTTACTTAAAGACCTTAAATGTTAGCAAACGGTTAGCCACCATAGTTCTATGAAGCATTCATCAGAAATAGATTCCATTACCATGTTAACGTAAGGACTAAACTATTTTTAAACTTGTAGCTACGGCAAAAACTTTATGAGGCATTTGTTAGCGTTCCCTATTGCTTTAAAACTTATCAAATAATTACTTAAAGGGTCACACTTAGAATTGAATTTACCGCAGGCTGATCGATTTTAAGATAATTCAATTGAATCAAAAAGTGTGCACACTACTTGTTATTTAACAAGCCACATTCGATCTGCACTAATAAGGACTAGACAAGCATGACATTGATCACCACCCAGTGATCAATCAATTGTGATAGAGATGGTTATCTACGTGGTAGATTTAAAGAAATTAAAAACGTAAAGGTCATAATAATAATACTAGAATATAAATCATAAAAAATTGCTAAAGAATAATAAATAAGTGATTGCGGTTTAAAAAGTACAAGATATTGATCGAAACAAAAACAGGACAAAACATACTAAAGAAAAGAGTCATAGCGTTAGAAGGGTAAAAGGCTAGACGGATAAAATGGACAATGATCTCATATATTTCTCACCCTTCAACTATCTTCATCTTCCTATTCATCTCTAAAATCTCTACCGTTGCGCAATCTTTCTTTGATATTTAAAACATCGGATCACTTTATGATAAAATTTCTTTACATTCTTCTATAGACTCACGTATTTACTAAACAACTAAAAATGCGAGGGTATAGCCTAAATAAATGATTTTGTAGAAAAGAAAGTTTTCTTCACTGAATCCCTTGTTTTTCATTCAACATTCCTACTACTGTTACGACCAATCTTAACTTTCTATTTTAGGACCATTCAAAAGCACTAGGGTTAGTGCCTCAGTGTTAGGATCAATTACTGATGACGTACCAAGAAGAATAAAACAGAAATATAAGTTCGTAGTAAATTAGAAATGCTAATGCTATACTCCGTCAACTGAAAAACGTCCCAAGATGATTTAGGAAAATAGTCACAATTCACTACCATGTAGTCATATGACATTACTTTGCAAGCATATCTATTTCATGGAATTCATCGTAACTTTTGATTTCAAAGTTGAAGTTGTTTAACATTGCTTTATGAGTATTCGTTGTACTTCACTAAATACTTATTAACACTCTCGAGGAACTGAAAATTTCATTTCGTCACGCTAATAGGGTATGGCAACTTGAACCAAAATAAACATGTGCCAGATTCTACATTGTGCATGAATGATTGATTGACTATCCACAGTCTACGATCCCTAAATACATACAGAAACTGAAAATTGAACAAACCAAACATGACATATATCTGTATATCTAGTAGATAAAGTGAAGCTCTAAGAAACATTAAAATATCAAAACTCACACACCGACCACTATAGAATGGTATAATTTCGAAAACCTTACTGATGTTGATTTTAAAATATTCATTCCTCAAACTATATCAATGAATAGGCAGGCCTACTTGGGATATAACATTACATTATATCAAAGGAGAAAACAGTAAACAATTTATATTCAAATATGCATAGCCCTCTGAATTGAAAACATATTGTCTCGCCTCGCAGAATAAATAGACGAGAACATTACACGATGGCAAATATAAAATATTGGTAGCTAATTAATCAACAAGTTGACAGGATTCACATGTGATCAGCTTGAACCGGATGACTGTATATTATGATGCGTAACAGAAAATAATGCAAGTGCAGAAAATATTATCCGAGATAATAAAAAAAGAACCTTTATGTGAAATTTTGAATGTTCTAATATTTGAAGACAATAAAACACGTATTTTCAATAATAATCATCAACAAAGGATAACAGTGATGCACGTCAACAGAATATTCAATGAAATATTTAAGATAGATAGTAAGTAAAATGAATATGGACAACTGTAAGCCTTTACACTCAGCTAACGACATTTTCTATCTCTTTCAAACACACACACACATACAGTAACATAATTATCCATCAACAAAAATTAGGAGAGAAAAAGAAACGTGAGAATATTTATCACAGGAACAGGAAGTAAGTCACAATTGTAAAAATCTTTTCAGCGAATATATCAAAGGCAGTAGAGAGAAAACACAATAGTTTCAGATTTACAAGCGGAAATTGGCATACATAAGTACTAACAGGTTGGTGGCTCTCAACGGACAATGATTTATCCAGTTATCGATCGGTATCTAAAAAATTCGATCAATTCATTATCGAACTATAAACGAAATCAGAACTACGGACAAAGAAATCGAAAAGGCAACGCAAAAAGCTAATTGACATTTAGGTGATAAAAGGTTAAATGGCGGAGAAGATTCGCTTTATGCGAGATCATAATTATCCCACAATCATAAGTCCCAATAAAAAGAAAGTTTATATCAGGTAGGACAGCTTGTCCTGACTACTCAGTTAGCCATCCTAGATATTACAAACACTCATTCAGTTAGCAGAAAAGTAGAACCTAATACATAACTGCATCGGTTTAAATTCCATACCCCATTAGCACAGAGAAATTATATTCTCAGACCAAATCCCACAATAGTACAGGTAGTCAAGTTAAAGATCGTATCCCAAACATACTTGCATTGTTACTTTAGGTGGTCAGAAAACTCGGCACTTCGTCAGCATCTTCACCAAACCAAACTAGATCATCAAGGTATTCAAAGTCAACAAACGTATCTCCTGGTAGAATATTAAACCCTGAAAAGTCAGGTGACGAAAGTGTCATCTCTAAACGTATGTGTATGACAAGGTTAAATAAAAAAATGGGATCAGTGATTATTGTGTTACTTGGACGGAGTGTATCAAGTGAGGGAAAATAAATAACCTGGTGAGTTTTTTTCCTAGCTAGTATTGACTTTGACGGTTGTTGTGTTCGAATTTAATCTACCTTGACGAGTCAAATATATCGAAACCGTGCATTTTCAGGTAGAAATTACTCGTAACTTAGCCACAGTAGGACATCTTTGGGAGTGTTTCTTCTACCATATAACTTATTTGGGGTTTGGAGACAAAATCGCACACTAAACATGCTCGCGTTTTTGCTTAAGATGGTCAGCGCCTACAGAGATTAGACACTTTCAGAGGTATAACAATTATAAAACAGCCAATAGCTCTACATTTATTCTAACTTTTCCAAATATTGATGAATATCCAGAATTTGGAAGATCATATAGCTACAATCCGGAATTACCTGATCTCGTAAAATGATTGTCATGTACTAGAACATAGATAAGTATCTTCTAGAACCAATGATAATTAATTATTTTAAACAGAAATCTCATTTAGCTAATCATGAAAACATAAACTAAGATTTATAGCATCTCAATAAGTTTTTTTCAATTACATTAATTAATGGTTTAATTTATGTATGGATTTAACATGAAATACAATTTGAAGGTGATAATTTTACAGAATCTTCACCAATTCATTTCAATATATTTAAACAGATGATCATGAAATTATATTTTCATGACAATAATTGGAAAAGAAAAAGAAACATACAATCCCCTGCTAAACAAATAATAGAGTGGGTGGGTTCAATAATAAGAACCTGTACTTAAATTTTTTATTTTAAAAAAATCACGTACGTGATGGAAAGGAATGAACCATATTGATATAGGAACATTTTAATCTTAATAAAGTAGGCAAGCAAAGCACAATTACATTTTACCATATAATGTTATCGTAGTAAAAAAAAACACACTGATTACGGCAGGGAACAAAGTTATCAGAATTCATAATAACAAATCAGAACAATTAACTAAGAGCAATCAGAAAATCACATCAATACTAGTGTACAATTGAAATGTAAATGTAAAAGACATTGAGACGAGCAATAAGTAAGTATAGGTAATATTTATTAACTCATTTATCAACTACACTGTTTTGTACATATTTTTGTGAAAGTTTATGTTAAAACCCGTATTGTCAAAACTAAAGTGGATAAAACGGAGTTCGAATCTCTGGTCGATTAAGAGAAAGTCAAGTGCATTAAATATTAGGCCACCTCTCCACCGTGTTGAATTAATACATAGATATTCTATTAAATACATTAAACTAAGAGACGAATACATCTCATGCACAATAAAGTATACATGATTCTTTAAATATAGATCGACCGAAACAATATAATTTTCACACATTAGTCAGTTATCGTCAATGTTAAACCTCATGTAGACGTAGATTGGCCCTAGTTGTCATATTATATTAGCACAAAAGAAGATGAGTATAAAAAATGGGATAATTCAATGGCAGCGACAATGAAAAAAACTGAATGCTTAGAATATAGTTCGAAAAGAAAAAGTGGAAAGGTATGTATGAAAGAATACTGGAATCCGAAACCGGGGGAAAGCTACGGCGTGAATGCATCAGCATCACTAAGAACGATTATATTCTCTGTTATCTGAAGTCTCCAATCACTGGTCGTAGTTATCTAGTGAATTGAGATCAAGTAATCTGAATCTACCAAGATGACTCGAACCAACCGTCAATGACTTCATTGGTTAATGAACGTTTTTGGTCTGGCTGACTTTATATTTCTTTCCATCTGCTCCTAATACAATAACCAACACCATACGTCGAGGTAGACGGTGGTTGAACATACGTGATACATGTCTCAATTACTTTAATCGATTTATATTTTACAATCTTCTCAACTGAATGGTCATATTTACTTAGGACTTTGTGCTTAACCTCAATATCCCTCACTTGTTCATTCTACGAAAAATGATCAAAAACCTGAAGTCGATGAATGTCGTCCATTTTCAAAGATCATATAAATATGTATAGATATGTATGAATTGCCCAACAACAAAATATACTAATTTATTGATTGTCATATCAAATATCTTTCGATATTTTCAATTGGAAAAATAATATTTATAATAACTAAACCAACTTGTTACAAAACAAATAGAATCAACAATCTCAAAATATTTGATAAGACATAATTGAACAGAAAAACAGACCAAAAAAAGAAAACAAAACACAAAAAGTAAATGATAAAACTATGGAATAACAAAAAATAAATAAATAAATAAAAACCAAGACTTTTATTACCACATGATTTGTATCATCCTCATTCTCATCTTCATCATTATTTACAGATGATGACAATTGTCTTGCAAGCATAATTTCTGCACGTGGATCAACTTTTCGATAATTCGAAGTCTAAAGTATAATAATAATAATAATAATAAAATTTAATTAAAGTCATATGTTGTAAAATATATAAATGGTTTAATCATGTTTGAAAAATTTTATAAGATTTTTTTCCTGAATACAACTGAATCTTTTATTCACTGAATTGTTAGATTGATACTTCTTTTTTAAATGGGTAGCTTTTTTTGGTTACTTCAGTAACTAGAATGGATATAATAACAGAGCAAGAATTAAACCTGACATGTAAAAAGTAATTCTAGTGAAGTATGAATGATCAATAGTTCCCACATTGTATATGCGATTGTTTCTGAAATAAATCTAAACATGTTTACTTTAGTATTTAGTATTTTTTACATAAAGTATTATTTTGTTATGGAAAAATACCATCTTTCTAAACGGCTGATTTGTCTTTTGACATGAGTTCGATTGAAGGTTACCTTCAATATTTTGATCTCGTGAACAGTTACTACCCGGTCACATTAAATCTTACTAGCTGGTTGACATATTCCATCCATTAGCATAACAATAATAATCCTCAAACGTTTTTTTCATCATAAAACATCAAAGGCTAACTCATAACAGTACTCAGAAACCTTCATACTATCTGTCTAGTAAAGTTGGTCAACCTTTCGCAGTAACTCTGTAGACCAAGCAAAGTCAAATATATGGAACAGCCTTCGTTGAAATATTCATTTTAAAACATGGTAGAAAAATTAAAGGCTGTAACTATAACAAAACGGGAGAGAATTTAATGTGTATCTTTTTCAACATACTATTTTACTAAGCTTAATCTCGCATTATATACCTATAGTCAGTTTTTCGAACTACTCGAAAATTAAGTATGTTGAAAATATACTAAAAATAGCCGACCACTTCTTTATAAAAAGAAAACACTTTAAACTAGACTAATTTCACTACGAAACTATGTACAATATTATACTGTACGACAAATTCGATTCACTTAATTGCCTTTTTTATTTTTTTCCCTGTAAAGGAAAGAATTTTTGTTCATTTTACATCCCCCTAATATTTGGCTTTGCATACAGATTTCTTAGTTGTGTTTAGGTTGTTATCCATTTGGTGAAATAACATCGATAATTCAACCTTACTTGGAACTACGGGCTTATCACTTTCGTCATGTTTTTCGTAGCAAGCTTTCATACTACTTATTGATTGATTGAGTAGCCTAACTTTTTGGCAGAAATTATCCATAGATAGGAAGCGGTTCAGCACCATGCGGGCAATTAAAAACAAGCTGAAATTAAGCAGACATAAGCAAAAGCATACATTATCCCTTATCAATCCATCTTATTCGTAAACAAACTACAGATGATCTAAGATCAGTTGAGTTACACTCAAAATATCATCAGAATTTTACAACACCGAATAAGTATATGCTCTTATAAGAGGCAATCAGATATATGGTCATGAAATGAGGAAACTCTAGATCACAAAATATACAGTAGATCTCTACTCAGCACTGTCAAATGCACAAAGGCCATACAGAAATTGGCTGACTGAAATTTATTACACACAAATTATATCTAAGGTCCTTAATGAAGTTGTACAGAAGTGGACTTTTAACATGTCCGTTTCCTTCTTAAAGTATAGCTGCCTCGAAGTCCTTAACGGTAACAGGGATTATACCTAAGAAAACTGTCAAAATATTCGTTTGTTTCGCTTCCTCAAGTGCTGTGATCCAGCAAATCTTTACTGGGGATTTTCCATTTCCTGAAGGGCCAATCGGCATTCCAAACTAGTTTGACAGGATAAACTAACAAACTTCATTAGCCTCATCACAACATTTGCCATTCAGGAAATAAATATGTAACCACTGGAAACTTAAAATATAAAATACGTATTCTGCATACAATTTTAACCGAAATGAAAGAATACAAAACCATATTACGGTGAGGGTCAGCGAACAGTCATACTTGTTCATATATATATTTAACGTTCATGGAAAATATTGCTAACATGAGACAGTATGCTCAGATAGCTAGCGACCACAAATTTTTGGAACATTCATTCTATATCGTATTAGTTTATTTTATTATTTTGATTTGCTACGCATTACTAATTATAAACACGTCGATCATTATTTAGACGAATCATATAAAACAAAGTATATCACTGACAATGATGAATTCCGAATAAACAGTATAAAATATAAGATACAATGGTGAAAGTTTTAGGTCGATTATCAGATCAGAACCAATAGAGCAGCTACCTTAGTAAAAATATTAGTATGTAAACTGACGGACTAATTTCTGTTCTGCTCAATAATATCTATTAAAAATAGAGGAGGTTTATTGGAGATTGTGACAGCAGTAACAGAACAATTATAAACCATGATCTAATAAACTATTTTATTATCGCTTAAGACTTTATGCCGATCATAACTTACAGACCAAGATCAAATAGAACTCAGAATCTTCAAGTTTTCTGCCAACTATAGGTCTTTTAAGATAATTGTTATAACCCAGCGAAGATTAAATTACAGGTAACTCCCGAGGCCTATTAATGGACTAATATTCTATAAATATTCTTATTGTAAAACTATTGAATAATTAGATTATGTATATTTATATTCCTCTTATTATAAGCTTTAATTTGACCTATATTTTATTATCGTACGATTTACGATTCTTAAGCTATGCTCAGTCTATTAATTACTGTCCCCCTCGTTCACAGCCACTTTTTGGGTTATTTGTGTACACATGTTATTTTCTATTTTATGGTACGTTGTGGTCTGTCTGATTGATATATAAACCGAGTATGTCTGAAATAAACGATTCGGTCTGATTCTATTCTATTCGATTCATATTACAGAAGCTGGTATTGTGTTCTGGACTCAAGTGGTAGGGCTAAGAGGACATAGGACCAATCAGGACGCTAAACTGCTCATACTGGTTGAACGTCATTGGTTTGGCATAGTGCGAAATTGTATAAGTCGTATTCTGGCTGGTCGATAAGTCGCGTAGTAGAAAGCCAGACATCAAGGTCATAACAATAATGAGTTGGAATTTAACGATCTTAATATTTAACTAAGATAAATTTGCGACCTATATACATTGCTATCGACGAGTCTCTGTCTTGAACGCAAATAAGTTGACTGTGTACGTAATAACTATCCACAATATTTTTATGGCTTTTCAGTTGTCAGTTAATAAAAAAAACTTACTACTAAATATCTATTCAGTTAACATTTTAAAATGGGTTCTATGATCTGTTCAGTAATTCCAGAAGCATATCGACACACCAATTAATCGACATGATGTCTCATTAGCTAACCTTTTTAGACAATGTTGGTCTTTATACGGCGCAAGGAATACCGTAAATGCCATCTACATTGAGAGCGCTATAATTGATAAGTAAGAATGAGATAGTAGCGGATTGAACCACCTGCTTCTAGGTTCGATTTCCAAACTACCATAATCGGAGACTTGTGAAATCTATTATTTTCCTTAATAAATGTAAGCGCATTGTGTACGCTTCCTAGATTGTCTGAACACTTTTTTCCAGTTTTCCTCAATCTCACTCCTACTCTGTATCTTGTCCTAATACACACAGCACATTCAAGCTAAATGCGAATCACTCTACAACATACAGTCCTAACTACCAAATTCCATAAAATTATCAAATTTAATTATCATATAAATAAACGAAAAACTTCAAAAAATAACCTATTGATCAAACATTCATTATGTGCATAATTTTCAGGAGTGGATTATAATTAGTAACGGAAGAAATGTAACATACAATGAATCATACACGTAAACACAGACACAACTATGATGAATATTTTATGAAACAAACATTTAATAATAGAAAGATAGATATTTACAAACTACATCGCGTCTATAATCATCATAGTCAAGAAGAAAGAAAAAACCTGTAGTTGATATACAAAAAAATAAATTTTGTTGCTAAAAAAATTGTTATCGATTTGCTGAGTAATCTGATATTTTTACAACTACATAAATTGCGTTACGCCTAGTTTTTTGGTATATCTGAAAAAATATGATATATTTTTTCCAGATTATAAAGCCAATTATACAATTCGTGAAAACATCTTGAAATGAGACAATGATGATCAAATGGTTGTTGTTTGGTCAGGCGATTGATTTGTGGAGATTAATTCAATTTCAATAATTATTCAGTGACGGAAAATTATTTTTATTTATTTTAACACATAGATATTGGTAAAAGGAGACACCAAATACATATGCGCCACACAAATCTCATTCGATATGTGTGAGGGCTGTGATACTGCCCGAGTGCCCAGACCGAAGCAGATGGTTTTCTTAGGGGGCCACACCCCGAGCCTTCGGCCTGATCCACAAGGCAGTAGAGCATCGTGAGGAGATGCAGTCCCATGGAAGCCGGTGACCAACAATTGGTTCATACGCCGTTTGTTCCCACAGGATACTGGAGCCCATGTGCACCATTGGTTTGGAATCCGGTTAAAGCGCCGGACATTCGCTTTTCGTCCTCTCATTTTTGTAAACAACACCTCCGCCACGAGAAGGCAGTGAGTAGGACTTCCCTGTCAGAGGCTATATACGTGTGACCATGTGAGAGCATTTCGAGAGGGAGAGCGGACTCTCCGCACTCTCGATGCTATATGTATCAGTTCATTTTTAGTGCAGATCAAATTATATCGATCAATTTGCGATATGGCCACTAGCCTAGGTGATTTGACATCACGTACACTACGTTGGGATATAAGATGGTGGTTTAAGGTAGTCGATATGAAACCCTGGACATATGTTTCGTGCTACATGGCACTAGTAAGCAAGGTGTACTTGTAACATTGAGGGAAATTATGCTCCCTGGAACATTCGATCTCATATCACTCAGCTTCATGAATCGGTTGTTGTTATACATAGAACTGAAAATGAATTTTTGAAAAACTATTTGTGACACCTAAAGTTTAGTTACCTATTTTTGTACAATTTCGAGTTGAGCATTTTTACGACATAATTACTAATATTATGTGTCCTTTATTCTTAACAAGGTTAAAGAAGTTTTTCTGTAATTGGTTGATTGATGTTTTATTATACCGATTTTTCCCTTAACTTTGAAGACATTCCAAAAACTATTTGAGCTTAATAAATATCTGATTGAATTTTTTTTTCGAATGATGCAAGTACATTTTTAGTCGGAATTTTACTTTTTTTCTGAGTGGGGAAGTGATATTAATTTTTGTTGTCTGAGGTAATCGATGTCCCAAGTATAGAACCAGTAGTACCATATCACATGTATGCAAAAATGATGCGATGTCTAGGTTTGAAATTAACAGTTACCATTGTGTACCAGTCAATTAGAAAAAATAACTGACAACTTAAAATTATTTAGTCAAGCATTTATACCTAGATAACTACACTGAAACTATAAATCAGGAAACACGGTCGACCAACTTATAAACGATAATCCCAGCATAGTTCATAAAAAGGCAACTATGATTGGTATCAGTCGATTACACACACAAAAAACTTTAAACAATGGAATATAGAGAAGCGGAATAAGATAATCAATAAATGTATGGTTTACAATAATGAAATGATACTTATCGAGTAGTTACGTTACGTATTAATTATATAATAACACATTGATTATAAAATAATATTGAGTAATTAGAGGAAAGAGGATTATAATAGTTAAAATAATTATTCGAAAAATCAAACAGTTGCTACGTTGCATAACATATAAAAAGAAAGAACTAACTAAATATTTTAACGAAAGGTCAAAATTATAGTTGTTATGTAGGAATCAAGGGACCAATGATGAGAATATGTAAAATACAAGTGATAGAAATGAAAAAAATAGTTTCAAATATTTTTGAAGGAAAGGGTCTCATCAAAGTACAGTTACAAACTCATTCTTATATCGATAACCAGGATGACGAGAGAGAGAGAGAGGAGAAGAATAACATATATATTTACCGTCCACAAGAAAGTACTGTTCTTAAAATTACGGTTTTTAAAAGATGCTACTGAGAAAATGTTGACTCAAAGCTTAATCAAGGCACTACAGAAAACATTTACTACAGCCTCATTGAATGCCGTTTTCTACAACCACCCCATAATAAGAACCGTTAATAAAGACAGACTACCTGAATTCGCCATATCCATTTGTATTCACCAATTCCATTGTTTCTGTGGAGTCAGTTATATGAGATGTACAGTTCGGCTAGTCCGTCATCGCATATCAGAACACCATCCGTCTTGGTTGAGCAAAAGGATAGGTAAGAGTGATTAACAGTTCTATTCTCGTGCACTTGGTGGACACAGGTCATCAAGTTGACTTGAATGAAGCATTTAAGATTGTCCAATATATTCCATCAAGCTTAGATCATGGTTTACGGGTTCGTCTTTTGCATATTGCTGAAGCCATCGGTATCCATGTTCATAAACCAAACCTTTACATCCAAAAGAAGTTTGTACAACAACGTTCACCACCTTGGTCATCGATATAAGAGCGAGTTTGTAACTGTACTTTGATGAGACCCTTTCCTTCAAAAATATTTGAAACTATTTTTTTCATTTCTATCACTTGTATTTTACATATTCTCATCATTGGTCCCTTGATTCCTACATAACAACTATAATTTTGACCTTTCGTTAAAATATTTAGTTAGTTCTTTCTTTTTATATGTTATGCAACGTAGCAACTGTTTGATTTTTCGAATAATTATTTTAACTATTATAATCCTCTTTCCTCTAATTACTCAATATTATTTTATAATCAATGTGTTATTATATAATTAATACGTAACGTAACTACTCGATAAGTATCATTTCATTATTGTAAACCATACGTCTATTGATTAGTGTAGAGCCATGACAAAAAACTAAATGGTAAATCTCTTCGCTCAATCCGTTCTTTTTTTTTAAGTATCAAAAGGAAGATGATCAGTTCACTATTCTAGAAAAATTTCCACTAAGTGCTTCAATTACAGCACAACATTTTATACAACTAATTAGTATATCATTACTAAGTGTGATGAGTGTTAAGGCTTAAGATAGATTAGTTGAAAGAAAGCCTTTTTAATAGAATACAAATACGTAGTTATCTTTAAGCCGCCTACATAAATATTCTATTAAATAACATCAAATCATATATATATATATATATATATATATATATATATATATATATATATATATATATATATATATATATATATATATATATAAAATTGTGCTACATCCGATTCACTAAAATATACGGAAATTACAGCAAATTATGAATTACAACAACAGCAACTACTACACACACATGCGGAATATTTAAACAACACTAACCGTTTCATTTGACGGCAGCTTGGATTCTAAAGCTTTTATACGATTTTTAATAGTATTAGTCACCTCGTTTTGTGCTACTTGCTTCACGATATTCTGTGATTGATTTTCAGACTGTACATTATTGTTATTTATCTCTGGTTCACAAATAGGTCGAACAAAACCAACGGGTTTCTATAATTTCCAGTAAACAAAAAAAGAAATGTATTCTTTTGAAGAGGAAACTAACATAACAGAAATGTGCATAAAAAGTGATGACGAATAGTCTATTGTAACATTGATGTAATTTATGAAAACAAAAATTTCAGAATAATGAATAACAACAAATGGGGAAAATGTGTATGTCTACAAGATGATCAACATTATGAAACAGCTTAAACCTAAGTGAAAAGTCAGAACACTAACTGACAGAAACTAACCAGACGAATTGTACTTCTATAAATACTAGTCAATTAAGAATTTGTGAATAAAAATGATTAATTCGGTAATACTAATATCATTTAAAACATTGATAGCTTGTTATTGTATAAATATGGTCTAGAAACAGGAGATTCATCAAAACACTTATTCACAAACGATGAACCATATTTTTTTCAGAATATGGTATTTTCAAATAAAAAAATGCAAGCGAATTTGCCGATAGCCTCGTATCAAATTAGGATTGAAAATTTTCTGTTTTTACAAATAAAGTCAGTGATATCAGCAAAACAACTGATATACAAAATGTAATGTCTTTACAGGACATATCTTACAGCAACTACTAGAATTATTGAATAATTGTGTACTATCTTGAGGATTATCAGTTGAACAGACAAAAAATTTTAGTCTATGATTGATAACAGTACACAATCTTTCAAGTTCAACTACATCAAATGACTTTCTTTCAAAAGGTAAACATACATCCAAATTTAAGTCTTGTACATTGACATTTCAAAAACTGGATAAACAAATGATATCCTTGGGTTATTGTAACAGATTTTCGGATAAGTTCAATAATTCATTTAATAAAAAACAACATCATAATTTTTACTGAATCTATTATGCATTAACATTAAAACCTTCACGTAGAAACCAAAAAAAAAGAAAAAAAACAACTTAGAAAAAAGAAAGAATTGACTATCGTCTATTCTCATCACTGGTTTATTCTATAAATAATTTAATGTATTCAAATCATTTTGATATGATACAACCACCTTTCATATTCAATTAAGCTTTAATAAAAAAATATAACACGAACTAAACATATGTAACTAATTTGTATTAAATTAATAATAATAAAATAAAGATAGATTGGTAGTTAATATTATGGTATTATGATTCGTATAATAATAATAATAATAATAATAATAATAATAATAATAATTCTGTTATAGACAAATAATTAGTTGAAACGTCATTTCAACAATAAGAAATGTGATTAAAACAGAGATTAATACTAAATTAATATATTATATCTGTAAATACAATATCAGCATATTAGTGCAAGTACATTCGCACACACACACACACACATACACGTACACTGATAGATAGATCTCAACACGAATATAAAGATTTGACTACTAAATGAAGAAAGTCATTATATAAGAAAGGTGAATATAGATCACGTTGATGAATTCATTCAAAGATTCAATAAGTCATTTTATCTCATTTGCACATCAATTTCATTGTATTACATAATAAGACAATTATATAAATACATTGTAAAGACTGATATGATATAGTCGATATTAGTAAAATTATTTGTTTATAATATCATATTGCTGAAAACGAGATCACTAAGAGAAATTTTATATTTATCTGGTTATCATAAAATCAGAGGAGATAGTTTCCTTTTTTCCCCATAAAACTAAACAGGAACTGAATAAAAATATTTGACACAAAATAAGAAATATCATAAATTCAACAGTAGTTAATAATTTAACGTAATGATCTATTATGATAGCTGGTCCTGCGTTGTAGCTGACTGATGATAGCTCAGTTGAGTAATAAAAACTGAAACATTCCTTACTTGAGGTTATTTAATTAGTTAATTTACTTAAAATCTGATACAACCAAGCGACAAAAATAGAATGTGCTACAAAAATTAAAATTTGTGTTTGAACTGGAATACTGCAAAGCATTCAAATCGAAGCATGTGGTTTTCCTAGTGAGCTGGTCCCTTTGACTTAAAAATCTAACCCACGAAGCAACAGAGCAGCCGTCCTATGATAACAGATGGCCGAAAGTAGGTTCATACGTCATACATCCCTTCAAGGTGCTAGATCAAATATCCACCACTGGCTCAGTTTTTTTAAACAGGTTTAAACGCCGGTCATTCGCTTTTTAATTTCTTATTTTCGTAGAATAACAACTCCGACGAGTGAAAATAGTGAGTAGGGTTTTCCCAGAAGAGGCTGTGGGCGCATGGTCGTATGAGAACATTTAAAAAGGGAAACCGCTATAAGTCAAGTAGGATAATTGTTAATGTTTCATACATATGACTAGTCTTTAGTAAATATGAATGCCAATAAAATACCTTCAAATATACAAGGGAAGGTCGGAATCACTCGTCTGAATATGAAGAAAACAACGTCTGCTGAACAGTAGTTTTAAAATTTTAAGAGATCAACTCAAGATAACACTCGTGTAGACATGGTTGTAATTGTTCCATGACAAAATGAATAGCTTACGACATATCAAAAAACTTAATGAATAACCTTTACTTATTTTCAAGAATCATACTCTAATTTTTAATAATCATAATTTTATGAGTTCAACACATGTATCTCCTGAAGGTATTTTAGGTTCTTCTTTTGGAGTTCAATCTGATTCAATACACATTCCCTCACTACATTACTCTTCACTTTTAATAAGTTGATAACCTAATTGCTAAAAAGCTGGATATTTAGTAACACAAAAATCCGGACTCAGTTGAAAAACTGAAAGTCAGTGTGTAATGCAATTTTAATACTAAAAAGACGATTGCCTGACAAATCTTTGACCCTAGTTTGACGTTATACTTGTTGTTTTTGATAATCAACGCAGCCAGAAGATAACGTCTTTCAACTCCACACCACCTAACGAACTCTCTGAAATAAATTAACCCCTATATAAGTAGCGTATCTTAGTCTTTATTATAAAATCTTATACATAGTTATCAAGTTATGTTCCAATTTTGCGCCTTGAAATCGATGAGATTGCTTCCGCAAACATTTCATGAACACAACAGAGGATACTAAGTCCAGCAATCCAGAATCCAGTGCATTTGACTTAATGAAAAGCACCGTTTACAAGCATCTACTGACTTATACGCGGCACTGAAGATTTCACTTAATTGCGTAAATAAAATACTTCTAATTGTGAATATGGAACACATAATACTTTCAAAGTCTGAGATGATATGACCTAATAGATATCATTTGGTAAATATATAATCACTACACATAATTCTGGACGTAATTCTGATACAAGTAGAGAAATGGTTTAATAGTTTAGATTATCAACTACGTAACACAGTCAATCAGTCAGGTCTATGATTCTGAATTATCCCTTGATTCAACATACCAAAATAATCTTCTACACTTTCAAAGCTAAAAAATAACGCGGAATTGATTGGTAAACATAAACATACTGTTATGGACAAGTAGAATAAGTCAACAATATAAAAAGTGAATATTTACAATAATAATAATAAACTTAAACCTACTAGTACCTTGATAGGAGATCTTAATTTTGATGAATCTTGTTGCTTTTCCTGTTGTGATTGCCATATACTTCGTGATACACAACCTTTTGGAATATCTTTATTTGGATTTGCACGCACATAGACAGAACCCTGTAAATAATTAATTAATAAAATGTTTAATATTACAATAATACCAGAAGTATATTTTTCCTTTCTAATACAGATTATGTTAACATTATCAGTAATAATTGAAAAGAAATAATACGTATTACTTTCACGCTAAAAGGAAATATAAAAGAAGTGAGATTTTGTTAGCATGTACTTTTCTTAAGATGAAAATATTATCAGAGGATTGACAACAAAAACGAATAGAATACAAACAAATACGCAAACATCCATATCTGTATGAATGTCCGATATCTGTCTATTTCTATTTGTATATCTGTACGTTTTATAAGTGAACATAGATGAATGTGTTGGAATGAAATCAAAGGTAGAAAACTAAATCAATTAGGATATAAAGCTTAATTAGGACAAATCTTTACTGAATAATAATAATAATAATAATAATAATAATAATAATAATAATAATAATAATAATAACAATAGTTATATTAAAGATAGTGAAAAAATCCAGCTTTTATTAGTCCTACAAGAATATTTAAACAAGATGAGAAAATCAAGTTGTAAACCGTAAATAACTAGGGAATATTTTAGACAGTTTGACCTTAGCTGTTTAGTAAAAGAAAAAAAGAAGAATTTCGTCCAAAAACCAGTAGTTATTCTCTAACTAACATCTGATGAGATTTTCGTTTACTCCTGAGATTTTTAAGGATGGTGGTCCAGTATTAGCAGTGAGATTAACTGAGGTCTTAGGTAGAATTTGGGAACTGGACGTAATCCCATCTGACTGGTCTCAATCACTGATTGTGCCAGTCTATAAGAAAGGACAAAAGTCCTCTTGTGACAATCACAGATGAATCAGTTTGACTAATATAGTGTCTAAAATATTAGCTTCAATAATACTTTGACGCCTAACCAAAGCTCGTGAAGAGCAGACTAGAGAAAATCAGGTTGGTTTTCGACCTGGACGTGGTTGTATAGACCAGATATTCACACTACGTCAGGTCCTACAACACAGACACACATTCAGACGCCCCACAATCGTAGTATTTCTCGACCTTAAGGCGGCATTCGACTCTGTCTATCGTAAGGTTCTGTGGCAGTGTTTGTCACTGAAAGGAGTACCAAAGAAGTACATTAACCTTATAAAGGCTCTCTACTCGAACACAACTGGTCGAATGAGAGCTTATGGCGAACTGTCATCAGAATTGACTACCTCAAGTGGTGTTCGTCAGGGCTGTCCACTCTTTCCATTCTTGTTCAACTTTGTCGTCGACGTACTTTTAGAGATAACACTTTCCTCGTCTAGATTTCCAGGAGTTGAAGTTCTACCGGGAGGTTCACTTGTTGTCTTGGAATATGCCGATGACATAGTTTTACTTGACGAAGATGTTGACAAAATGCAAAGTTTTCTGACCACTCTAAGCAACAATGCAAGCATGTTCGAGATGCGATTCTCCCCCTCGAAATACAAAATGTTGCTTTAGGATTGGGTTGCATCGACACCCGAACTAATGATAGGGAGTGAAGTAATTGAGCGTGTCGATTGCTTCACTTATCTTGGAAGTCTGATCAGCCTTTGTGGTCTGGTGTGTGACGAAATCTCAGCACGGATACAGAAGGCTCGACTAGCTTTTGCCAGCTTGCGTCATTTATGGCGTAGGCGAGATATCCGTCTATCAACCAAAGGATGTGTTTACTGCGCAGCAGTTTGTTCCGTCCTACTTTATGACAGTGAAACGTGGCCGGTAAGAGTAGAGGATATTCGTAGGTTACTAGTATTTGATCATAGGTGTCTTCGAAATATTGCTCGTATATCCTGGGACGATTGAATAAGTAACGGAGTTGTTAGGAAACGGGTACTAGGTAAGGATGGCAAATCGATTGATGACGTAGTGAAACTTCATCAATTGAGATGGCTGGGACAAGTGTTACGTATGCCCAACCACCGACTGCCTCGATGTGCGATGTTTTGTTGTATAGGAGTAGATTGGAAGAAAGCTAGAGGCGGCCAGACCAAAATATGGCACAAGTCCATGAAGTCACTGACAAGTAGACTGAGTCATATTGGTAGGTGTAGACTACCAGGTTGGGGACGGCGAGATGATAGCAACCGATGGTTAGAGACGCTGAATGACATGGCTCAAAATCGTTTGCAATGGCGCAGATGCATCCACTCTCTGTGTTCTCCCAAATTCTATTCTTCTGAATTCTTCATATCCCTCTCTTTTTCTCTTTCCAGATTTATTTCACTGGATTATACTCCTTGAATAACATCTCCAAACCTTAATTTTTCTGATTACAGCTTATAATTTTACTACATCTAGCACTACGGGATTTGAATCGACCACTGCATCTCTGTACTAATGTGGTGTGGCAACTCGAACTGATGTACGTACGTAAGAAGTTCTACGTTGTTACTGACTGACTGACTGATGAGATTTTCACTGTCTTTTTTGGTAATTCACAGAATCCAAAATGCAATATATTCTTACAGAGAATTTAGGAAAATATTCTGTATTGAAATGTTTATATATTATAGTGGTTTGCTAAATACCATGAAAACTTTTCTAACAGTACTAGGGAAGTTATTGAGATTTTTAAACTAGAATTTAGAAGACATACAACAAACTTGTAAAAACATATCAGCTAAATGGAAAAGACGCTCCTAGTTATAGTGAAAATATTCCTTAAAATTTAATTGACACGATATTATGAGATGTCTTTAAGTGGTAATTCTTTCTGTGCTATCAGTAATAGATCACACACACAAAGAAAATAAGTTCAGATAAGAAATATCAGCTAGAATAAATGGAACTGTTTTTGTATGCACCATAATGCAAAACATAAAAACAAAAAAAGTTCAGTTTATCATTAAGTCTGACACAATTGAAAATCATAAGAAGTTTGTGGCAGTGAACTTGTATTTTTAAAAAAAACACGTGAAAGCCCTAATTTTAAAATCAATTTACATCAAAACATTAAATAGTAATATAAAACTAACTGTAGGTACAAACTCATCATCTGTATTATTAGAATTGGTCGGTTGAGTATGAGAAACACTTCCTGTTAAATTTTGAACTTTAGTAACGATTTCGTTCCAATCCAAATTTGCTTCACTTCTTGCGTTGATCGTAACATGAACTGTCTATTACGAAAATAATTTTAAAAAGAGACCTTATGAAGTAGTAAACATTTCATATGATCTAATAGCATGATGACAATGTTTAAGGAGAAATTATACAACATAGTGTTAGGAAACTCCATTGTATACCAAATTAAATTTTCGCCATCATAAAAATTTCAAAAATAAACTAAACAGTTTTGTAACTTTAGGAAGCGAAAATATTTGTTTTCTAGTGCAGGGATTAAGAATTAATTCATCAAGTGTGAAATATAAAGTGACATTTTGTCTTAGCTTATTAGTCTAGACATTTTATAAACAGCCGTAAGACAATGGGGTTTCAACCTTGTCACATTTACTACCGTGTTGAAGTGATAAAAGTTTAGAAAATAAAATATAAACATTTGGATAATTTCCTACATGTATTAGAATTCTTACTAACGTTATTATTATCACCATCATTATATTAACGTATTGATACTGACCAGTAAATTAAACAATGAATTTGGACTTTTTGCGGTTTCAGGTTTGTTAATGACTTAAGATAGAACTGAGAGCATGAAGAAGAGAAAGAATCCACAACCATCTGCTTAACAAATGGGATTAAAACTGAAATTAGTGTTCGCGGGAAACATCTGCAATTGTAGTCATCTAGATTAACCTAACATACACCACTTGAGGTGATGCGTTATTCACATCTGCTTCCTAATGAATTTCTAGTAAGCACAAGGCAATCATAGGTAAAGAAATTTAAAGTCAAGAATATCCTATAATTTTACCGTTTTAAGGGCTTTTATTTACAATTCTGGTCCCCAAAAAAGGTAATGATTAACACTCCTTTTTTGATTTGAAGCGCTGACTTTTGCAAAATAAGAAAGGATTTGTCAAAGTACCGAGTTCGTATTTCCTCAGCTCAATTAAACCATATTTTAGATAGTGTTTGGTGCGTTGACATGTGGTTATTGAATAAACCGGAGTCTAAAAAGATCATAACGTTCCACATAAATGACTTTTAATATTATAGGAAGTTTCAGCAGTTTACTGCTTGTTTAAGCACCTCATACTAATTTATATTGATGCGTGCTCACTTTTTTCGATAAAAAGACAATAGTTAAATAGAACATGATATGTAAACTACGCAAACTGAGTTGCCCTGCAATTTAATTGACTTTTCTATCCTTTCAGGTACCATTTCATGATATTCATTACTAATTTCAAGTAATTGAAAGTTACATCTCCATGGTAAGAGTAACTACCAAACATTTTATATATAAACGAGCTCTTTGTTATTCTGAGTTAATACATCGATAATGTAGTATGTCTTTCTCACAAGCAAGGGTAATCGTTTGGCATGTCATTGAAAAAACGACTTCCCAAATATATTTGCAAGAAGCCTGTCACCAAATGAGAAAATATACATTAACAAAAAAGCAGAAAACTCCAACCTCTAGTGATTTAGAACCAGAATCTTGAAACTAGTTAAGCACGTTTTCACACATCATAAATATACTGTGTAAAGCAGTAAACTAATTATCACGCATAAAATTATCTGCTTGAAAAATTATTACAACTAGATCTGAAAAAACGGTAAGCTATTCCGTCATTGTTTACAAAAGCACCAAACTATCAACACAGGTGAAGCATTGTCGCTTAAATTGATGCTTAACACTATGAGCAGTTGTATAACTTATTTGAAGGACAGAGAAATGCTAAGCTATTTTGAAAACATCTACAGGTCTAGTATTCATGTCAATCAACAATCAAGGGACATGTATAAACACTAATAAATAGTAGTAATAGTTATTCCGAAACATATATTACAGTATTATAGAAGCTAAACATTGATAAGGAATCGAGATGGAGATTTAGACATAAAAAACCATAATTTTCAATTAACAACAGCACTCACAAACTACATAGCCTTAAAAACGTGTGGGGATAATTACCCCAAGAAAATAAATGAAAGTGACATATTAACAATCCTCAAACTTGAAAAAAAACATTCTTTTAGTTACCAATCAGGAGTAAATTAAAATCAACATATTGTAAACTCACTCGGCATAGCCGTTTCACACAGTCGATATGTCTTGGACAAGCTAATTTAAAGCTTTCAGACGACGCCTCCCCTTGCTAATTAACATAAAATTAAGAATTATAAAAATCGGTGTTAAAATCAAGAACAGTTCGTAAAAACAAATTTGGAGCGAATATGGTCAATCGTAAATAAAGTATCAGGCGGCATATCTGCCATGGAATTCTGATTCGAAATTCTATATTTCTGTAGTTAATGGAAATTTTAGTGAAGATACATACATCAGTATTCCAGAGTGCTGAATCAATCGGGAAACACTGATTACAAAAATAATGTAGAAGTTTAATTCTGATTACAAGCTATATATAGTAAAAGAAACACTCCCAAAGATGTCCTACTGTGGCTAAGTTACGATTAATCTCTACCTGACAAATGAACGGTTTCGATATACTTGACTTGTCAAAGCAGATCAAATTCGAACACAACAACCGTCAAAGTCAATACTAGCTAGGAAAAAAACTCACCAGGTTATTTATTTTCCCTCACTTGATACACTCCGTCCAAGTAACACAATAATCACTGATCCCATTTTTTTATTTAACCTTGTCATACACATGCGTTTAGAGATGACGCTTTCATCATATGACTTTTCAGGGGTTGATATTCTACCAGGAGATACGCTTGTTGACTTAGAATACCTAGATGATCTAGTTTTGTTTGGTGAAGATGCTGACGAAGTGCAGTCTTCTGACCACGTGAAGTAACAATGCAAGTATGTTTGCGATTCTCTCCCTTCAAATCCAAGATGTTGATTCGGGATTGGTTCGTGTCAACCACTGAATTATTGATTGGCAAAGTAGTTGAATGCCTCGCCCAACCCACCTATCTAGAGAGTCTTATCAGTCGTGATGGCCTGGTGTATGACGAAATCGCGAAACCGATTCAACAGGCTTGATCGTCTAATGCCAACATGCGTCAATATCAAACCTGATGTGTATCTGCATCGGTTTAAATTCCATACCTCATTAACATAGAGAAATTATATTCTCAGACCGAATCCAAGAATAGTACAGGTAGTAAAGATATCGACAGTAATAGAAAAGATTGAGAATTGAAGGCACAACTCGAAAAGAAAATATAAATTTGTGCAATAAAAACAAAGAAAGTTGTGAGGAACCAACAACCCCAGCACTTGGGGGAACATTAATGATGGATGCATCTGTACTAGTGAAAACGATTTTCAGCTATGTAATTCAAAGTCTCCAACCATTGATTACGATAGTCGCACAGATCCCAACCAGATAGTCTACACCTGATAACGTGGTTCAGTATGATTGTTAATAACTTCATGGACTGATGCCATGTTTCGGTTTGGCCACCCCTACAATCCTTCTGATCTACTCTTACACCAGAGGACATCAACCGTAGAGGTAGGCAGTTGTTGGGCATACGTAACACATCCCAATCAACTCAATTGATCAACACTTACTACTTCACCGACCGATTTGTCATATTTACCTAGTTTTCTATTCCTGGCCATGACATTCCTCACTCGGTGGTCCCAAAATACAAGAGCAGTGCTTCGGGAACACCTACGATCGAATGCCAGTAACCTACAAATGTCCTCTAATCTTAATAGCAATGCTTTACACCCATCGAGTTGGATAGAGTGGACTGCTGAACAGTAAACTCGTCCTTCAGTTGGAAGGCGGATATTCTGTCTGTGCCACATGGTGTTCATTCAATATATGACATTCTTGGATAAAATTATGGTTAGCTAAGTTCATTATGACACGTAGCGTACGATTGTGCTTCGATTTCATATGCGTGGCTTTTCATTAATTAATAATCAAATGTGTGAACATGTCCACATATAAATGAACGTATTTTCGACTATTGTGGTCATTGTGTCATTGAGGTAATAAATATTCACTTGTACTAGTCTTGTGTTGTTATTTCGCAGTGATTCCTTGTTTTTCAAGTATAAGTAATAAGCGACGTAGGTAATAGCAACTGGCAACGGAGAAAATTTACAGGTTTCAATTTTTAATAAAACTGTCTGGTTAGTTATAACTCCATTTTCAGCTCAACTAAACCCAAATTCAAACTGCCTATTATAAATAAACTGCATTGTCTAAGTCACTTTCACAATAAACGACGCAGTTTCAAAAGTAAAAACATGTCAGTTTAGGTCACAGAAGTAAAATCAATGCTTTAGTTTAATAAAGATGTGTTTGTTAAATCTCGTCTAGTGCCCACCAATTCATTGGAGGAACACGCGCTCAAACAATCAGACCCGGAATTTCACTAAAAAATTGTGGATAAATTAACGAGATGACTGATATATTTTCTGCGAAAACAACACTTCCATTGTAGGTGAGGCCGAAAAATTCTTCAATTAGGCAGACTCTGGGCAATGGTCTATTGTTCTTTCACCAGATTCCGCTCATTCTAATTACTCATTTACATTGTGTGAAATTTAAAATTGTTGTGAGACAAGTGTACCAGTCCTAGACGGAAGGAGAAGACTGATAATTTGAAAGGACATTCTAATAAGGTTCAAAAACCGAGATCAAATTGTCTAGGTTTGGGGTATCGCCTCTCAAGTCGAGTAGTGAAATACTGGAATACTCCACCAGAACATTCATAAATAAAGCCGAATTGTTAAGATCAAGTATCTGAATAAAAGGGATGACCAAACAGGCCGGGTCGTCAACGTTATGATGGTTAAATGTCTGATTCCAAGTGCTAATTTACACCTAGAATTCGTTCAACTCCAATTACGTTGTAAGGACCAGATATCGTACTAATATATTGATGTAGGACATCTAATTTGGTATATTAGCCCCCGGATAGTGAAAATGCGAACACTTACATTTCAGAGTAAAGCACTAAGCAACAACAAATATATAAATCAACAGGACAGAAAAGCTTACCCACACAATTAAAACAAATTTCGCAGGAGTTACAACGTCAACACGAACAAAACCATAAAGGACTTTCCCAGAAGAAAAATTATTCAGAAATTGATCCAAATCGTGACCTGATAAACACAAGACATACCATGAAATAGAACGAAAACGGTAACCTTGATCTTTTACGTCTAACGTATGAGTTAGTCCCATATATCCAAAGATTACCCTAAAGAAATTAACATAATGTGTCATTTTTACCAAGACCATTTCCCATCCAAAACATAGTTAACTGCTGAAAGGAGAGCCTGTCCATTAGTATTTAGGTCGATCATAACACAGTCCGCAATTACCCGCCTGTGACCTTGAAATGATATTATTTTCAAATCTCCTCTAGATGATTCAGATTACTCAAATGAATCTGAAAAAAATAGAACAGTTTTTCGTTCAATTCAGTAGCGCTCCTAAAAGTAATGAATTAGCATTAAACAGTAATTTTAGCCCAGAATGCGCTCTTGAAATACATGCGAAATCGATTTTGTCACCTCAGTCTCCTGGTCTTCACTACTCCTAAAGAGTAGGATGTATGTCTCCAGTCACGTTTATTAGATTGTACCTCTAAATTTAGAGTAATCTAACCTACTTTGAGTCCGTTATGAACTTAAGAAGATAAGCTGGAAGGTGATGAGAGGGGTTTAGTATTTTGTAGGTCATCAAAGTCACCTCTGAGCTACTTATATTCTAAAGAGTTGGGATTCAGTGACGAATTTGAATTTGAAAATAAGAAAGAGATATTTTGGTCGCCTTTTGATACTCTTCGGCGTACCTATATGTTCCTGGATTGAAGGGAGAAACACAGTTCCCATAGTCTATATACTGTTCAACAAACATCCGAAAATTTAGCGGAAAATTCTGTCGTCACAGTAGCCAACCAGTCTTCTATAATAAGGATATTCGGTCAATAGATCCAAGATAATCCTTGCGAGTTGTTTTTCGAAGAAGGTCCAGCTTCTCCTGGTGAGGCTGATACCTGTTAGTGTAAGGCTATATATGCCACAGGTATTCTGAGTTTGATGACACCTTTACCAGTAACACCTTTATAATCGAATTTTGCCAAACTAATCAGGGCAGAATTCGGACGTCAGCAGAACTTCTAGCAACCCCAACGATTATTATAATATCTTTTACTGTACTCTATATTTATTCTCTTTCATTTTTACCGTCGCTTTAGATCGTCAATTACTGTGAATATTCGCTTCTTTGTATTAGTACTTAAACTTGACTAATTAGTTCAACCAGTAGAACTAACCAATCAGCTGCTATTATAATAGGCTATTATGGTTCTCCAACAAGCATTAGAAGCATGTAACTGCTGCTGTGTAGTATGAATTTAAATACCAACCACTCGTAAGTATAGCCAGAACGTAGCGCAAACATATGTATGTCTATAGCTTACGTAAACAAGACACGATCAGCTATTGATTATAAACTCATCTACCTGCTTGTCCACTATGAACTACTTTCTGTCAGAAACTATCCACGGAAATATTTCATTTACTTGACTATTACCTGCCTAATGTCCTACTGCTGAATTCCATCGTCAAACAAAGGATACGAATGCCAGAAATTTATGGTAAATCCGAGTTACAAATCTTCAGCAATCTCAGATTATGTTTAGATTGTCTTTCAAGCAATGTTACATGTTTGGCCTAGTTTATTTTTGAACCTATACAAATTCAGTCTACAACCTAGTGATATGACATAAATTAAACCAATAATACCCCATATATAGTTCGAATCCAACTACTATCTACTTCAAATTTCCACTATTTGGAAGTGAGTGTAATACAGGCGAGTTGCATAATTGCATTACAATGATGTCATCATTTTAGCTAATGTCTACTATACTCTTTGTATCTGTTGTTGTCTCATACGGCAAACCATAGCTCGACTTCCTTATTACACTTCAGTAATATTAATTCCGTTTTCGTTTCATTTGCACTCAATACGAGTTCGGAAAATATCTGCACGACCTCTGGAATTCCAAACGAAAACCAAAATAGTCTTCGTATGTCTTTGTTCATACATTCAATTGTTACATTAATATTACCTAAACGAACGTTCAGTGCAACTGTCAGTGTATGTAAGAATGATGTTACTTCGATGTGACGCTATAACACATCCGAACCATTGTACTTATGCAACTTCGACGTCGTACTTTGTTTTATGAAATACTGTTTCTGTTATCTAACAGCCAGCTTTTTCCGGTTTCAAATGTTGTTGGTTACGACGGATGTCACTGTAAACTTTGCACAGAATCTGTTTAACTCCATCCGTAGCTCTTCCAGAGTTACTACCGATACCAAGCCCAAATAATGGAAGAGGGTTGTGCATGTGGTTAACGACCCCATCTCGTAGAAAACTAACTCGCTAGAAAACGTTAACCAGAAAAAATAATTCAAACAATTTAAACTCTGCCCTGGGAGTTAGAAGGTCTTCATTTAGAAGAACTATGACGCTTCATCGTGAAAGCCGAGTTCCTTCGGAAGTCACGAATCCGATCCCACTTCTAACAACCAGAACAACAATTTTTATGGGTACATGGAACGTCCGGACAGTGTAGGAGACCGGCAAGACCAGTCAAACAGCAACGGAAATGAGGAGATACAACATGGCAGTACTGGGAATCAGCGAAACCCATTGAAACCAAGCTGGACAACAAAGGCTAAATACGGGAGAGATGCTACTATACTCCGGTCACGAAGAAGAAAATACTCCAAGCACGCAGAGAGTTGCTCTACTGCTGTCCAAAGTGGCACGAAATGCACTTGTAGGATGGCGATCTCACGGATCCAGAATCATCAAAGTATCATTCAAAACAAAGGATCTCACCATTCTGATGGGAGATCTAAACGCCAAAGTTGGAATAGATAACACCGGATATGAAGATATCATGGGATGACATGGACTGACTGCGAGAGAGAAAAAAAAGGAGAACGATTTGCAAATCTATGTGAATTCAGCGAATTGGCCATAGACGGCACAATATTTCCACACAAACGTATACACAAATCTACATGGATCTCACAGGACCACACTACAGAGAACCAGACAGATCATATTTGCATTAATAAAAAATTCCGAAGGACAATGGAAGATGTGAGAACCAGTAGAGGAGTACAAGCCGAATAAACAGAAACAAACAAGCATGTGGAGAAGAGCATTAGAGCCGACAAGAAGAAATACGTGGAAGAACGATATTTTGGTCCACAACCTGGAGATGCTGGCAAAGAGAAGGAAAAGGGAAGAAAACCTAGAGATTATCAAGAATGGTTTAGTGGTAATTCAAGTGACAATTTTTGCATTAGTATGGCATTTTCTAAAAAGTCTGTAAAATTCTATTCTGCATTCCGTGATTCCTATATAATTCTAGCTTCTTTGAGAATTAAAACTGTTGTCGATGATGAAGTAGAGAAAGAAGCTGATGTTCAGTATGTCATAGCATCTATCAAACTGTTGATTATCGACCAAGCTGAAATGATATTAATGCAAAATCGGGCTACTGTACAAAAGATCGTCTGTTCACTCAATCAACGTCCAACTGTTCTTGTGTCAGCATCAGCTGCACGTATTCGATTATGTTACTTAGCTGGTTATGGTAGACTTTATCGTCAAACTCTACTATTCTCTGCCGTATCATATTTTTGATCACATCATTATCAGGTGAATGTGAAAATTTTCAAGGCCTGAATTATATACCGCCATTATCATATTATCCTGATTTATATCCAACATTTTTACCCGATTGGGTACGTATTCCTGAACTGAAAGCATCTATTCGAACTGAACAGAAACGTCAACATTCAAATATGAATGCTATAAAGCAAGGAGATAAATCTTTAACAAATTATAACTTCAAGTTACATTCAATTTCATTTGTAGTTCCTGAACAAATTTCTATTAAATCATCTTGTACAAAATTGGTCAGTAAAAATAATCAATCAGATTCAGACGATGAGATAGAAATGTCACCTAAGACGACAACTGATAATTCTCTTCTTTGCCTTTCTAATTCCTGAAAAATAGATTCGTCAACAATTTCACTATTATTATCTACTAAAACACTTGGATTCACTGAATACGCATATTTATCAGGACGTTTCTATAGCCCGATTAAATGCCTTTAAACAACGAATATTACCTAGGCTACGTCGAGGTTCAGATCCTCGTGTTCTTATGTATGTGTCAGATTTCTACGGTCTTGAAGAACTGCGCCAAATTTTACTTGCTGAATCTTTGGATTTTTGTTGTATTAATGAATATACAGAAGACTCAGAAACTGAAAAATTTCGTACCTTGATTGGTGATGTCCATATTCGTAGTTTGGTATTAATTGAGCGTTATTACTTCTTTCGAAAGCGAAAAAATTCGTAGCTCTCAAACACTAATTTTTTATGGTCCACCAACATTTCCATGGTTTGTCAAGGAATTATACGATTTCCGACATTCAGAATGCGAAACTAGAAGCTGCAAGGGAAGGAAATATGAAACAGCTTTACGATACAACGAAGAAACTAGCAGAGAGATATAGTAAACTGAAGAAACTAGTCAAGGATAGAGAAGGCAGGCCAATCACTGAAATTAAAGAACAGCTGAACAGATGGGTAGAGTATTCTGAGGAACTCTTGAATAAACCAGCCCCACTGATTTCACCGAACATCGAAGCAGCACACACTGCACCAACGGAGGAGGAAATTAGAATGGCCATCAGACATATCAAGAGTGAGAGGACGGCAGGACCTAACAATATACTAACTGGAGCACTGAGGTCAGACATCCAAGTAACTACAAATATGCTTCACCTTCTATTCAAAAAGACTTGGGAGGAAGAACAAGTGCCGATGGACTGGAAAGAAGGACACCTCATCAAGATACCAAAGAAAGGAGATCTGAGCAAATGTGAAAACTACAGAGGCATTACACCACTGTCAGTACCAGGGACAGTCTTTATCAGAGTGTTTCTGAACTGGATGAATGACTCAGTAGACGCCCAACTTCGAGATCAACAAGCTGGATTCCGTAAGGATCGGTCGTGCACAAACATAATTGCAACACTACGGACCATCGTCGAACAATCTGTTGAGTGGAACTCGTCACTGTACACTAACTTCAGTGATTATGAAAAGGCATTTGAAAGTGTAGATAGGATAACATTATAGAAAATTCCTCGACTTTATTTAGTGTCTGAAAAGATTTTCAACAATATCCAAAACTCATACGACGGACTACAATGAAAAGTAGTGCATTGAGGGTAGCTGACAGATGCATTCCAAGTAAGGACCGGAGTCCGAAAAGGCTGTCTACTCTCTCCCTTCCTCTTTCTTCTGGTGGTCCACTGGATTATGAAGACCTCGACATCTGGGGGAAAACATGGAATACAATGGACAGCTCAGAATCAATTAGACGATTTGGACTTCGCAGATGACGCATGAACAAATGCAGATAAAGACAGCAAGTGTAGCAGCAGTCTCTGCATCAGTAGGCCTCAGCATACACAAGGGGAAAACCAAGGTCCTCAAATACAACACGGAGAACAGCAATCCAATGAAGACGGCACAGGTATTCGGTGTTTGACAACGCTTTTACCAGTAACACCTAATATAACTCGTACCCACCAAGAGAAATCAAAAGACAGATTCGAGGAGATCAGAAGTTGTATTTGACGATTGCCAATATATCGGAATTGTGTGATCTAGTCTGGCTAGCGATTGCGGTAGGTGTTGAGCACGACGTTCCCACACGTGATCTAGTGCGGATGCATGATCGAGCGCCTTCAGCTGGGTGAGTCCATTAAAACTAATCTGGTCAGCATCCAATGTCGAAAACTTACAGAGCTATTTACTTTGGGGATTTATTTACCGCTACACCTATCACTCTTGATGGCGAATCTCCGGAAGTTATAGAATCCTTCACATACCTGGGAAGCATCATCGATGATCAAGGAGGTTCAGATGCAGACGTGAAGGCAAGGATTGGTAAAGCAAGGGCCGCATTCCTACAGTTGAAGAACATATGGAACTCAGAACAAATTTCAACCAATATCAAAGTGAGAATCTCAAGGCAGTCAGTTTCACTGTACGGAGCTGAAACTTGGAGAACTACAACAACCATCATCAAGAAGGTGCAATTATTTATAAATAGCTGTCTACGCAAGATACTCAACATCCATTGGCCGGATATCATCTGCAACAGCCTTTTGTGGAAGAGAACAAACCAGTTTTTAGCTGAAGGGGAAATTAGGAAAAGACGATGGAGATGGATAGGACATACATTACGTAAATCATCAAACTGCATCACGAGGCATGCTTTAACTTGGAATCCTGAAGGGGAGCGAAAAAGAAGAAGGCCAGAGAACACATTGCGTCGGGAAATAGAAGCAGATATGAAAAGGATGAATCACAACTGAAAAGTGCTGGAATGGTGTGGTTAGGAAAGAGTTGGATGACGAGTTCTGGTGTGTGGCCTATGTTCCTTCACGAGGGGTAACAGGCGTAAGTAAGTAATAGGATCCCTTTAATTCTGTAAAGACCTTTTTATTTTCAACCAGATTGGTTTAGGGATTATTTTGCTTCGAACGTTTGCAATATGAAAAACCTTAAGTATGAAGTTTTTCCCACCATTCCGACGACGCCCATTTAGTTGTACCTCTGCCGATTGTCGCTTAGTACCATCAGTCAGAACGAGTGCGCGAACCTTTCGGTATTAGGTTTCATTCTCCAGCACAAGCATTGATAAATTTTAAGAGGCGGCTTTTCTGTGTACTTTCAGAACTCACTCTTTATCCTATTCAATAAAGTTTATACTTTTCCTGAAGTTAAAGTCAACAGCTCATTTTTGTTCATATGCTGTTAAGACAATATTTTATTGACTTATTTATTACAAAATTACACGAAATAGGAGATCTGGATGTGGAAGCTTAGTAAAAATTTTCAAGGCTTTTCTTTATTGCCCATTTATTGAGCACCTTGTATTAATATTGTAGATACATATGCCCTTGACCCAAAGTGATCATAAACAGTAAGTTTTCAAAAGTTATGAAACGACTTCTGAAACTTTTTCAAGAAACTGTCTCACTCATAAAGGAATATTTTTGGTCGAGAAATGTGGTAGCTTTTTCCAAAGAAGTAGGTATACGTTTTTCAGACTTATTCATTGTTAAGGATTTTATAGAGAAGTTAGACTATGTTGATAAAGCACTTGAACTATTCACTGAAATTATGAAGTTCCGCAGTATATTAAAGCCATGTGTGACGAAACTTTACAAATCTTGCAGTTTCACAATACTTCCGTCGCTCAAAAGCGAGTTTGTTTGTAAGTTGATTCGCATATGCGCACTCATATATATATGCGTGAGACAAGTCACGCACAAAATTACCACATAACGTTCCAGTAAATAATCATAACTTTTCACAGTTCTTTTTTATGTCTCATTACTTGGAATGGAGACCTTTGGAGAAAACGGATTGGGGCACTTTCTTCTTTGTATTAAAGTTCAATATTGTAAAGAAGTAGGTTCACTAATATACTTATGTATGTTTCTCTAGATTCTTAGATTTTTATGTTCACCTGAAGTACTGCGCGAGCTGAAATCAGAGTGGATTCATGTTTATGATGAATCGTTTGTAGATACTTTTCTGATTAAACCTCTTGTAAAGTTAGTTTTTATCATGAAAAATGTAATTATTTGACCTCATTTATTTACTGACTTATTATTTGAATTTTATTCAAAAGGACTGTCATTTAACATCAGCAAGCTGTCCTGAAGTTGGTATTCTAAATGTTCAAAGAGCATCCACGTTTTAAAGGCAGTACTTCTGTTCTGTTTGGTCTTTACACCTCCATTTATTTCTTAATGACGTTCTTGTTTATGCGATTGTATTATTTGCTTAGTAACTATCTTATATCACTGTCAATCATTTGTGGCCACAGCTCAAAACATCTCTCAGTTTCACTGGCCCTGCATGTGTATTTTCGAAGTATTTACTTATGCTTGTGAAATTTGACCGATTTTTTTTTAACTGTAATCGTATTATCTTACCATTTCAAACGGTTCGTCTTTCCTTTTTGCGTCAATTAAACTTCTGTCTATTCTTACAGCAAGTAATATTTTTACGACCAAACTAAAGCGCTAATTAATATGGTAGACAAATTACGAATCAAGGCATGTGAACTTTAGTCATGGTATTGTTACTATTAACAGTATTGCTTTGCAAACTGATCTCAGTTCGATTTGATAGTTTACTGTTAACTCAACTACTTGGTTGGAATCCTCAATAAGGACATGCACTATAATTTTATGTTCACTAAACTTACTTTGAGTTGAATACGTAGAAACATATAGTTTGGTTGGTGGTGGAACCTGGGACACGCGTTCCGTCCTACTGGAACTCATCGGCTAAATATAGGCTTGAAAGGATCGAATTCATCCTATGATAACCATAGAGAAATTAATTTAACTAATATTGTGTCTAAAATACTAGCTTTAATAGTTGCCTGACGCCTAACAAAGACTTTTGAACTGCAAAAATGAGAAAGGCAGATAAGATGGTAGTTGTAGTTATTCAACAGGAAACCTTGGAGATAGGTTTCATGCTATTTAGAACTCTTCAGCAAGGTGTACTTTTAATCTTAAAGGAATTGATGTTCCTTGACGGATTCGATACCGTGTCACCCAGCTTCACATTCAGAGATGTTACCACTTAGCTACCCGGGCGGCGACTGACTTTCTGTAGGATGTATCTACAATTGATCAATCACTGGGTAGTGATCGGTGTGATGTATGTCAGGTCCTTCTTAGTGCAGATGAAATTATATCAACGAAGTTGCAATGTGATCACTAGTCTAGGTAACTCGACGTTTCGTGCACTATGTTGAGATGAGATGGTGGTTGGAGGTTGTCGATAGGAAACTGTGGATCAGGGTTTCGTTCAACTTGGTCGGATTCGATCTGAATTACGAATGACCTGACACGGAAGGCAATGATCATTACCCAGTGATCAATCATTTGTAAACAAGAAGA